CCTGTCTGCAGAGCTTCTGTGGGGCTTGCAGTGAGTGTATCAGTTGTCCTATAAAATCTGGGAGATAGAAAAGCAAAGCCTTGCTTGAAGCTTTCCTGCCTTTCATTAATAATATCTTGTCGGTGATCATCTTTCATTCACATGTTTTGTGTAAAACTGCATGAATCATTCAGCAGATTATTTGCTCCCCCTGGACATTGCTTTTGTCTCTTTGCATTAGTCCCTCAAGACACCACATTTAAATAACATCTGAGGAGCCATTTGTTTAGTTCTCTCCTTGAAAGCTCATTTTAAAAATCTTTTCCGTTTGTTCTAACAAAAAGTCATAAGAAAACTTGAGTTGTATCAATTCAGTTTTATGTCTAGATGCTTCACTCTAATAGTGCTTCTACCCTGCACAGAAGCAGCAGCATGACTACAGTCCCTGTCCTGCTTCCAATGGATCTCAAAATACTGCAGCAGTTTTATAACAAAAAATAGACTTTTCCCAAAATTGCAATTCTCAGGCCAAATTCCTACCCGTAAACTCACTGACAGGCAAGTTGCAAACTGAATAAAAAGAGTTCACAGCGAAATCCCTGACAAGTCTTTGACAGCAGCAGTGACCCCAGGACACAGCTTTTCATGGCTGAAAGGACAAAGCAAGCTGTACTGCTCTGTACTTCAGCTGGAAAACAGCTCTGCTATCCCAGTCAATATTCCTATAGCTCCTATTTTCCCTGTGAATGAGAAATTCAGTATAATAGTGCATAGCACACAAAAAGTCTGATGTCTGGTAGAAAAATAAGTAATGAAGCTATGGTAGCCACAAAACTGTATTTGCATTGGAGGAGTTTCCCCCCGTAAAACATAAATTGTTAACACACAGTTGTTTGAGAGCCATTTCCTTACAGATCTCAGACAGGAAAGCTGTGGGGTTTGCTGCTTTGCAGGGACCAGCACTCACATCAAGGCTTCACCAGATGCAAGTCAAAATACCCAAAAACATAAGCAACGCTCTCTAATATAAACTGGCAAGCAATAAAATATTTATGTTTTGGTTTTATCTTCTGATCACTGCACCCACTTAGAAAGAATTATGAATTATGAATTCTCAATAGATAATGCTATAAGGAAAAGTGCAAAAAAAGAAAACCAAGATCTGTGCATCACAGCACTAACAGGCCTTTGCACATTGTGTATTCCAAAACACCTCAGGAAAGCTGGTAAGTGTTATCTCCTGCTTTATACATAAAGAAGTGAAGACTGAATTACTTTCCTAAGGCCATGGATCAATAAAAAGGAAAAAAGAAAAGCTTGCTGGAGTCCCAAGCCTACAACCAGTGCCCTTTTCACAGGGCTTCACTGCTCTCTTGACTCACTGTTTGTCACGACACAGACACAGTCTCCCAAGTCATGTCACAATTTTTCAGCGTAATATGCTGTAGAATATTTTACAAGCAATGTGGGCTGAGCTCTGCTTTTACAGGCTACACAGTAGTGAGCCAGGCACAGTGCTAGTTAACAGCTGACAGCTAAGCATCAAGGCACCAAAATAATCAAAAAAGACACTGTTTTTGCCCCAAACGACAAAAAATCTTCAACAGTGCAGACAGGAAACTCTCAGTTGTCCTCAGATCTTCAGAGGTACAAGAGCCAGGTGCACACAGACATCAGGTTCAGTGACACCACAACTCACTGAGCATGAAAATGTCTCTGGATATGTGCTTAACCAGAGGGGCCACCAGCAGCCTCGAGCTCTGAGCATACCAAACTAAAGATAGAGTGTGGTCTAACATGAAAGATAACATGAAGAGTCTATCACACTTACAAACTAAGGTGCAGCATGTGGTGAGCTAGGCCATGGCTAACAGCTGACAGCCTGACAGCTCAGCTCTCAGCAGAAAGAGGTAAATCAGTTTCATTTTCACTGGGGCTATTCCAGACGAAGTTTGCACTATCTGAGGTTACCACTATGCCCAGACCTTCACTTCTCCTCTACTGCTCATCTGTTCACAGTCTAACAGAGCCACTCAAAACCAGATGAAAGGGTCATAAAACAAGGAAGAATAATAGCAGTGAAAAAACTCAGAATCAATATTCCTTGAACAAAGAAGGCTCTCACTGGAAAAAAAACCAGCACATAAATTCAGTGCGGTGGGAAAAAGAGAAAAACACCTACAGGAGCCTGGGAAAGAGGATATGAGAGATTACAGAAAAGTCTGTGGAAAGCCTCTCCCATGAGAGCTGCTTTAAGAGCTGAAGGATATCTGTGTTGTCGTGTCCCAGCAGCCCGAGCAGAGACTGCACAGCGTTCAGCTCCACCAGCAGGTGATACAGGCCAGGCATCGTCGCGATCACGTGCATCTCCTGGATGATGTCATTTAAATCCAGTTCCGACTCCATGAACCTGAGGCAAGACAGAAGTGGTTAATAAAAAGGCAAGAAGTCCATCAGCTGTGTTCGAAACAGAAACCACCACCTTCTGGTAGACACCAGGTAGGACTTGCCCCACAGGTGCACATGGCCTCAGCACTTCTGAGCCTTCCTGTCCTACACCTGCCTGCTGAAGTTTAATCCCATAGCAGGACAAGCCTTCCTACGATGTAATTTACATAGAGTAAATAAGCAGATTTGTTCCAGTTCTGTAAATCAGTTCTAGTACCTCAATAAAAAACTAAAACCAAGATGCTGTAGCTACACATGCAAAAAAAACTGGCAATAAAATAAATTCTGCAGCACGCTGCACCTTCCCTAGATACCACATATTAGTATGTGGGTTGTAGGAGTGTGAAGTCCATAAAAGTAATTTGGGTAAGGAACAGAACAGCAAACTGGACAAAAAATAATGGTACTCAAGTGTAGGAAGAAATCCCTTTAACATGACTAACAGAACACCCTGAAGGGAGGAAGAGACTCGCTAGAACACACACACCATGTGTGGCTCTCCGAGCCCATCCAGCCACTCTGCTCATCACAGCACTCTGTGGAACATGCAGCTCCATACCATGAAATGATTCCCTCCCCACACAGACCTCTGGCTCATATGCAAGCACAACATCTTCACACCAAATCATGGGATAAAACCTTTAATTACTGTTCATCCTTCTCTCCATGCTGCCAGCCATACACCAGCCTCACCAGAGTCTCAATAATGCCATTTTTAATTAACAGAGTCAGTTTCAAACACAATTTAGAAGAACTGCGTGGCAATAACTGCTGTTACATAAACCTTATGTAACTGAAAACGTCTGTATATTCCAGATATTGATTTAGGGCTGAAACTTCAAATCAAAGGGAAAAAGTTGAGCATAAACTTACTTCTCTGGATTGTCAGGAAACTTGATCCGTAGCTCCTGGTTTTTGTAAGACCTTTTCTCAAATGTGAGAATCATCTTCTTCACTGAACTTTCATCCAAAGGTTCCTCCTGACCAAATCAGAAGGGGCAGAAAAGTGAGCTTTGGATGGTTGGAGCAATTAGAGCGATGTGGTGGAACTGCTGCTGGGCCCAGAGCCCTCGGAACAAACCACCAGCCCTGGGAGTCTCACTGCAGAGAGCAGCCAAACACCTCACACACCATCCCTACCCACTGCTCCCTCCAGCTCTGACCTCCAGCTGGTTTTACACCCATTATTACCTGACACCACCAGCACTTATCAAGGCTTTTTGCTTCTGACATAGAGCAAACCTCTGCTCGCAGCCCGTGCCCATGGAGAGTTTCTCCACAGAATTCCCCTGTGCTGTTGCTTTTTCTAAGCCTGCATTTAACTGCCCTGAGTTTATGTTCCTTCACATTTTCCTCACTTGAATAAGCTTTCACTGCTATTTTAAAGCCTTTTTCTAAAGGAAAAAAAAAAAAAAAAAAATCAATATTTTACTCTAGTACTTTCTCTTTATTTGTAAATGATCCTAAGGTGTTTCTCAGCTGGGGTTGTATATTTACTGTACAGCAGTAACATAATCTCAGCTGCCTCCCTGACACTGACAAACACTATCCTGCTATTTGCCTTGTTTTATGATTTGAATGCACTCCTTTTATTAAAAAATTGATGATATAGATTTCCTTGTGTAACCTCTTCCCTCTGCTCTGTCTGACTGTGTCACAACCACTATTTAAGAGTTCTCAAAACAAAAAACAAAATCCCCTCACATCTTAAGCCAAGTTTTGTGCCCATCTCCTGCTCAGGATTAAACCAAGAGTTGCTCCTGGTATTGAACATTCTTTGGTCAGCGACCAAATCTGGCAGGAGAGAGAAAATCTCCGTTTCTTCAGCAAACTCTATTACAATAACAACTCTAGTCCAAGACTTCCTTTATTATTGGATTTCCTTTGCTCTTGAGCCCAACCTGTCTCATCACCATCCCACTCATGTCACCATCCCATCCAGGTAATCAATACTACAGTGCCCAAAGCACATTTCTCCTGCAATGGGATTTCAACCCACACATGCTGACACTGCTTCCCTCCATTCCCTTTGATTCTCTGCTTCCTCTAACATGTATCACTACAATATCTCCATGAGGATCAGCTTTGTATCTTGTATTTAATTTGCATTCATTTTGCCATGTCCTACAAATTAGTTTCTTCCCCATCAAATTTACTGGGACAAAGCACATTTTAACAGCACTTATATTAACGGCAGTCCAAGGAAATAAACGAAATATGTGAGTTCTAAAGAAACCTTGAACTTCCAGCCTTTAAAATGTTTGGCTGGGAGGACTCCACTTGACAAAGACAAGGGATTGGCACACTGCAGGAATCCACAAGTCTCCAGTCAGTCAGGAGGTCTCGTGGCTCTGTCCATCCATCCTCCCCAGAGCTCAAACACTACAGAAATCCTGCGTTATCTTTCCCTGCTATCAGCAACAACTGTCATGGCAATAGCTCAACATCAAAAAAACGAGGGAGATTCTCAGAGATGGATGCTGGCAATGCTGTATACAGAGGACAATGATATTTTACAAAGCTACATGATCCTGCAGTGGTGAATATCACTTGTTTTTTTATCAAACAGGACACAGGCAGCAGGAAGCAAATATCTTCTAGATTTATACCAATCCACGTGTCACATTTATAAAGTGATCTTTTCCCTGGCCCTTGACAGAAAGGCCAATGCAGCATTGGATTTCTGTCTCCAAGGCTTGAAATCATTTACCCTTGACAGCTGCTACCCCCCTCCTCTGACCCAAGACCTTTCTTGTACAGAAGAATGTTTGTTTATTTGCTGCTGGTGCTGCACAGCTATGAGAAGGGGAGAAGCTGCATGGCTGGGAGTACTGATGAGAACAATAGCTAGAAAACTGGTTAGAACACAGAAGCTATTTCCTTAAAATGTATTTTAGGAGGTGATTTGAGTATTCCTAGACCAAAACAGAGATTAGGCTTGAAAGTCCCCCTGCCTTTTGCCCTTGTAAACCTGCAGCTGATATCTTTCAGAAATTTGAAATTAATGAACACCCTGCAGGGCCGAAAAGCAAAACCACAACCTTTAGCTGTATGAGGCACAGGAAAATCACATTAGTCTCATCATCTACATGGTAAGAAACGGAAATCACAGAGAAGTGGTTTAGTGTTTGGTTATTCCCACAGGACACAAAGTGACTTACTTCCTCCTCTTCCTCTTCTCCATCCCTCTCAATTATCTGAAGGAGTTTCTTCTTCTCATCATCAGGTTCTTCCAGAGCAGCAGACTCCTCTTCCCTGTGACGACTGTGCTCTCGGGCAGTGGCTTGTTTTCGACGTGCTTTGATTTCCTCTTCCTCTTCATCACGAGGTCTTTTTGTCCCTCTGTTAGGCTGAAGTCAGAGAAATAAGGTGAATTACTACAAGTCTTTAGTGACCCTTGCAAACCAGGACACCAATATTACAAGCCATACTGAGGAAATTCTTACAAGTTGTTTAAAACATTTGCTTACACGAAGCTTAACACCTCTGAAAACTGGAAAGGAAATTAATTTACTGAAGTGGAACATCACATGAGTAGATGAATGCCCCTGCCAAGAGCTGTGTCAACATCCTACCTTGTTTGATCTATGAACATGATTCAAGGGAAAATATCTTCATAGGCAGCAAGGACAAGGAGTGCACAGACAAGGAGTGGCCAAACAGTCCTGCTCAGGGGGCACAGCTGGCCATGAGGATCCTGAATCTGCTGACTCAGCTGAGACAGCCCCACATTTCACAGCCAGCAGACAGATCGTCTTTTACCCAAGACATATGAGAGATTATATTGAATTCCTGTGTGAATTCCATTTCACTCCCATCTTCTGCCTGAAGTTTGCTGACATGTGAAGCAAAATCAGCCCAGTTCAGCATAGGCAGGACAGGATTGCTGCTTGCTGCAGCTCTGCAGGGACTTGACACTGAATAAAACAATGCCCAAATCATCATGCTTTGCTTGGAACAACCTATTATTTTATTCCATCACTTTTATCTGATTGACAAATTAAAGGTAATTTGCCGGGGAAAAGAAAAAGTCATTTAATAATGCTTTAATTTAGGCAGAAAAGGATGATAGTAGCAGAAGGCAAAACTCTTCCCTTCAAAAACTACAAGGACATTAAATTTGGTCACTTGTATTTTTTGAAGGACAACCAAGCTGCAACACGAGTATTCCACTCTCTATAACTACAGGAAAACAAAGCTTAATTCCTTACAATTTAAAAGCAGTGTATGTGTTAGGAACAATCAAAACAGTAAGAAAAATATTATTACTTCCTACCAAAGCTGAAGTGGCTTGGTAGATGATTTTCTAACTCCATCAGGTCTAACATGTGTCCAGCCTAACTCATAAAACACCACCTGGCAGGTAGTCCCCTCTCTTCTGCTCTGTGGGACTGTGTCACACCATGCACCCATGAACACAGGTCCTGCTTTTAACTGAGACTGGGACCCTGCCTGGGTTTGGTTCAAAGAAAGGTGCAGAGGGAACAGGTGACAGTATCATTCTCCTGCCAGGTCCAGCATGCGTGTGGATATCAAGACAAGGCATTTCCAGCTCTGGGAGGTTGGGAATTATTGGGTCTCAGAGGGCAATAAACCTTCCAGGCTCATAAGGTTCTGATTCTTCTGCACATACTGCACCAATGGCACAGCCCAGAGAGCACTCACCTAGGGATTTAGTGCAACACTGGCAAATGAAAGCTCTTCTCCGAGAAAACACTGCTTTCAGGAGATGTAAAAAAACCCAGTGACCTCGTGGAAAGCACTTGAGGAGTTAATTATAATTAAGGAGCAGGCTGGACAGCAGCCTGGCCAAGCTCACCTTGTTTTCAGGGTTACCACGTTGTCACCTCTTTGAGGAAGATGCAGAATCAAGTTTCCCAGACAACACATTAGCACAAATCAAAGCTGTAACTGCTCGCTCCCAGGCAGACCTGTTCGAGCTCTGTTATCTGTCTCCTTTCTCCCTACATCTTCCCTGCCATTTCCATTACCGATAGTACATTCCTGACTTAAAACTCTTCTAAAGTGCCTCCATGCACTTTTAAAGCAGTTACTCAGCCCATAACTCAATAGCTGTGACATGGAAGCATACCCAGAGATTCTTTGAAATGAAAAATTTACTTGCTTGGAGGGTTTTGTGGATTGGGGTGGTTTTTTTTTTAAGTAGATTCCTATTACTTATCTTCTAGGTACATTAAAATATAATTTCACATAAATCCATTTGGAAACTAGCGTGTTATTGACAACAACTAATATTTCAAACCCTCCCCAAGCAACCAGCAACCCAATAAAGAAAAGAACAAGGAAAATGGTGCTCTTCTACATGACATCATTGAAGGAAAAAACACAAGTAAATCCATATATCCTTACTCAGTGTCCTTGATGAGACGATGGTCTCTTGCCCTTCCTATGTCCTTCCACTTCCCTCAGGAACACCCAATTCATCCTAAATCACCTTGGACACATTAATGTCACAAACACAAATATAGCAATTAGCAACATAAATCCTGAAATTTACAGCAAAATCCTGACAGGATTTGCCTTGGATGTTCCTAATTTGGGGAGCCAGAAACTCATTCCTCACTCTCATTTCTAAGCACCAAAATGGACCAAAGCCCCCAGTGAGCCTGAGGTGTGACATGGGGCTGAGAGTGCTGTAACGTGCCATGGGAAGGGACTGCACCCCAGAACAAATCCAAAATTAAAACTCCATCATGAAACCCACTCCATCTCCTCTGAATACACAATCTGCAGCATCAAAATTTACACCCTGCTTCCATTTCAGTTATTTTATCCCTGTTGGTATTTATGCATTGTTGGGGGAGGTGTCTCCACCGCATACCAGGATCATTATGATAAATCATGGAAGTGCCCCGCGTGCGATCATTAATGCTGCCAGCAGCCTGGCAATAGGCAGTAATTGAATTCCGGGCAAACGCTATTAAACAGGCATTAAGGCTTTGCCTCTCGTTATTGATGTTATGCAAAACCTCACTAAGGATATTGCCGTTCCCAACCAGTGCTATTAAAGCCACGAAACCAAGGCCCGAGCGGAACACCTGGGTCCTGCTCATTCCACAAGAGATGCACAGCCGTGAACAACTGATTTAAGGCAGGCATTAGCTTCTGCTCATTGATTTTCATCTTGGGTTTGCATTTGTGTTTTCCAAAGGACTGTTACCAACCCGCAAGAATTAAGCCTGTACGTTGCTGCACTGAGGCTGGTGCATTTCGCTCAGCAAACACACGTATCGTGTCCAAACACATTTATTTAACCAATTCCACAGCTTCACACACATCTACATGAGTTTTGCCTTTCTAGAGAGGGAGAAAAGACAAAGTTAATAATTTGATAAACGAAATGTGGGGTTTTGACTCAGTTGTGCTAGGGTGAATCCGGCAAGAAGATGGAATTCATCAGGAAAGGCACAAGAAAAGCATTTTGAAATTGTTTTGTTAGTTAAGCTTAATTCCGTTCCTGTTGAATGCAGGGCATTCACAGTGATTTATTCAGAAGGCATTTTCATTTAAATCTAACACTGATATCAGCACACAAAAACCAATGAATACAAAAGGGTTTAAAAAAAGCTGTGCCGCTTATAAAATACGATAAAGTAAACAAAAGCTAGTGATTGGGAAAGGGAGAATTATCTCTCCCTTTCTCTCCCAGCCCTCAGTTCTACTAGTTGTGCTTGGTACCTAACATACCCTGAGCTGTCACTGCCTGGGGCCAGGTCTTTGGGCACAGACTGTCTCCAGAAACACACCTGAGACAAGTCCTGGTCTGCACACAGCCAGGTAAGGCAGAGCAGCACCCACCATGTGTGCTGTGAGGGACAGAGAAATCATGTCCTAAATCAAAGCACAACGACCTGCCAAGGCCCTTGGTCTCCCTCCAAGCAGTGATTGCACATTAATATCAGGGCTAAGTACCCCACAGAATCTGAACACACATCGTTCAGGCCCCTGATTGCTTCAGCCTTCGCCAAACATCAAGGAAGGTTTAGAGAAGTCTTGGTAGCTTCATATTACTCAGAAAATACTCAAGAGTTTCATATTACTAAGGCATCTGTTTCATAAGTAACCTCGTTACTGTGAAGCTCAGAAATTATTTGTTAATGAAGTCTGAAATAAATCTTCATAAATGATGCAGCTTCTTCTGTGCCCACACCCCAGCCGGCTGCAGCCTGCTCTGAAGAGCCGCTCAGAAAGCAACACATCAGCTGTCAGTTCGGGATCCTGAAAGCAAGCCCAAATCTCCAGAGGCATCTTCAATAACTTCCTAATTTCATTTCCAACGTTTGTGACAAACCAGGCTACTATCAATCTCACTTTTCCTTGTTTTTTTTCCTTCCTGAAGCACAACACACGACACTTCTAAATGGTGCAGGATCTGTATTAAAAACTGGTACCAGGAAAATCCAGAAATCTCCGGGAGACAGAAGAGCTCCAAAATCACACAAACTGAGGCAAATGCTGTGATAGGTGTGCACTGCACCCACATGGATTATTAATTTCAGAGAGAATGAAATCTCTGGTACCCCTGTACCCTCCAGCCCCCCTTGTGAGGCTCCAAACTGCCCGAGGAGCCACTGAGAGTCCTGCGGGGCAGAGATCTTCCTCAACACATTTACACATGCTCTCGTTTGATGGCCAAAGAGAACATGTCATAAAGCAAACCAGAAATTCACTTGCAATGTCTTGGTGTGAGAGCACCAAGACAAGTTTGGCAGCATGGGGCTGTACTCCCAGGAGCAGAGCCAAGGGCTGAGGCCAACAGCTGAGCCAGTGTTGGCTCCCTGTTGGAACCCACAGGCAGGAGAGGAGCTACCAGGGTAATAATGCTGTAAGTAGTCAATGACCTGCTCAGCTGAGCTGCCCTTGCCATCAGATGTATCCATTACATTGCAAATTGACAGTAAATTATCTGTACCAGCAGCAGAAATGATGATGTGCCTCCATGGATACACAGAGATCCATCCCAGTACACACTGCCCTCAACCCAGTCAGACCACAGGGAGATCACCCAGCATGGTGAAGTCAGACCTCATCCCATCAGTTCCTGCTTCTTCTGGTATCCGATTTTACTAATATTCCATTAAAAAATTAACAATCTGCAATGATCACTCACAGTGATGAAATCTGCATTTAATGGGAATTCAAATAATCTCCTTATTCTCTCCCAGGACAACTGAGAGAGAACTCCGAATAGCCCTGGAGTTGGCTTTGTCCTCTTAATTACCCTCTGTAATCACAGACCAAACACGGAGGATCTGGGCAAACAGCAGCAATATTTAATCATCACTTTAGACCATCTGCAACTGTTTTGCAGCAACACGTAAAGTTTATG